ACTGATATACACCTGAACATCAGCAGGAGAGGACTCTTTAAAGTGGATACACTACATACTGATATACACCTGATCATCAGCTGGAGAGGACTCTTTAAAGTAGAGACACTACATACTGATATACACCTGAACATCAGAAGGAGAGAAGCAAACTGAAAGCTTTATTTTGTTTTGATCCAATGCTGCACAACTGAACTGATCCAATGCTGCTGTGAAAGAAAGAGCTATATCCATGTTCGGATCGGGAAAATGGCTTGTCAAAATCAAATGATCGGAATCGGATCGGGAGCAAAAAAAGGTGATCGGGACATCCCTACAGGGAATACTTCCAATATAAATATAAATGAAAGTTTTTTATATTCAACCAGCATTAAAAGCCAGTGCAAAGAGTCATATGCACATGAGCTACAGTGTAGAAATGGCAATGAATTTTTTTTGACCTGAGCTCCTCCCACAATGCAACATATATAATAAAATACAAAACAAAGTTAAACGCACACAACGAAAAGTAAACAAACACTCAAATAAAGCAAAAAAAACGTTGCCATCTTACACATACGAGTACGTTTCCTAACACAATTAATGTATATATAATATCCTGCTTTATAGTTGTTTACTGTACATTTGTATTTCAACATGTATATTTTCAACTTTTTTAGTGCCATTTTATTTCTATTTGAGATGTTAACATTTTGGATTGTTTATTTCTACTCTTTTAATTTCTCCAGTGTGCAATGCCTTGTCTTTTTATGCTGCTGCAACGCCAACAATGTCCCAATTTGGGATCCATTAAGTACTTTATATTATCTTATCTTACCCTCAGAGCCATCTTCATCTTCAGCGTGCAGCTCGGGCCGGAGTTCTTGAGGGGGAAACGTTCATTTAACGTCATTTCTTCGGCGTCCAGAAGGCGAGTCAGCGGCACCGTCAAAACGCCCAACGTACACTCGTGTTTCTCGTCTTTCACCTGGAAACACACGGAGGGGAAGTCATTGTTTTTTCTTGAGTGTCTCGCCTTTACTGCGAATAATGTTTAGACTAGAGCAGCAAAGAAAAATTAAAAAAGACCCACTGAGAGACTTTTTTGAGACAGTTTGCAGAATCAAACATTACATTTTAGGAATTTTGATGAAATGTTGATGAATAAGTCAAAAGTACAAAGTGGGGGTTTTAGATAACTTAATATTTAATTTGGACAGAGTACGATATCTTCTTTCTTCACTGAATCGTCAAAATGAAGATCCAGAGTCTCTCCACAGACTGTCTCGCCTCTACTGCTCATAAAGTTTAGACTACAGTAGCAAAGAAAATATTAATAAAAGATTAAGATGAGCGTCCGTACCTCGACCTCCAGCTCCTGGCTGCGGGGGTTGTGGATCAGGAAGGTGAACGCCTCCTCCCACACCGGCTCATTGGTCTTATATCGGGTCTGAAGGAGGAAACAGCAACAGAGGGAGGTAGAGGAAATGTGGGTAAACTGGTCACAAAGTCCATTAAATACAAAATAATATGTATTTTTGTATTTAATTCGATAGAAGAAGTCTGAAAATGTCAGTTGGTCCATTAAAATGTGTGAAGATTCAGCTAATTGCAAACTTATTGTTCTGTTAGTTGCTCGCTAAATGTGCTGTGGCTTTAAGTTTAGCAGCTACAGTAGAGAATAGCTATCTTAGCATTGTTGGTGACATTATATTAAAACAAATTAACAGACTTATTGCATGAAAATTGTCTCCTAAATTACCACAGCGTATTTCTAAGGGAAAGTGCGCTGATAAGATATGACGATTTGTGTTTTACTTACAGAGCTGAATTCACCACACGGTTAGCCTAGCTTAGCATAAAGACTCGAAACTAGCCTGAAACATATCAAGGCGAAACTAGCTTTTTTTTAACCGTGTTTCCAGGCTTTATGCTAAGCTAGGCTAACAACACCCTGAATCTATCTTTGTACTCACAGTAATGCACGGACACAAGAAAGTAAGTTAACAACTTCAATTCACACAATGTTACAATATCTGCTAACTAAGAGGTAAAGTTACCCTCAATCCATTTATTCCTATGACGTAATTCACGTATTACTTTAGATAAAACTTACATAAATGTTGCATTTTTAAATGTGGAGGATACATAAGATTATTACATTACATGTTACTTGTTAGACGACTTACATACTCAATACTGTGGCAATCCCCACAGGATCAATTTGGGGTGAAGTGTCTCAGGGACACAACGACATGCTGACTGCAGTGGGGTTTGAACCTGTGCTTCCCTGATCCCAACACCAACGCACTAGTTCACTGCGCCACACGCCTTCCATTAAGGAGTATAGTTCCTAAAATAACACCGTGTTTTGGCCTCACCTTGCTATCGTAGGACTTGTGTCCCACTCTGAACTGGACGAATGGATTTGGATCACTGGTCACTTTTTTACCGGACTGCAGGAGAGGAAGAAAAACGTTTTACAAGCAAGAAACAGCGTTAGCAAGCTATGCTAACATTCACAAATACACAAATATGAAGTCTTTAACTCTACAAGCTTTGGTAAAGATTTATCTCATATATAGCATATTCTTAACATAAAGAAATACAAGTAAACATCTGGAATTAAATCTAAAATGAAGTTGAGTATGTTTTTCTGGATTATAGTGTAAAATACATTTTGTCAACATGAGATGGCGCTAACTGTATGTTTTTAGTTTTCAAAATGTGGATTTTGAGCTCATACAGTGTCATTTTGGGCTTATGGTATCTTATATGTTTACCAAGATACCAAACTACCCAGAGCTACTCTCCACATTTAGTCAAATGTGAAACTTTTTAAGGAGAGGAGTTAGGAGGAAAAGTACAATATCAAAAAGGAGTGTAAATGTAACTTTGGGTAACAATGTTGTTATTTACTACACACATTGTTAGACACAGTTTTAGTAAAAAAACATGATTAGTGGAGTTCGTTAATGACTTCACAACAACAGTCAGTACGTAGGTTCACTTCCTGTTAGGAAAATCACATTATATTATGATGCAATGAGTTTAAAATCATCACTCCCTGATATTTGAGAGCACTAATCTGTCCCAAAATCCTTACATTTGACTCCACTAAGAGTTTAGGATATAAGGTGCTGTTAGCTCCTTAATTAGAGAGTTGAACTCACACTGAACATTTGATATTTATATTCCATTTCATATTTAATATTCCATTCCTTATACATCCGCTTTATATGTTGTTACTGTACATTTGTATTTCAACATGTATATTCCCTACTTTTGTAATGCTATTTTATTTCTATTTGTGATGTTTACACTTTGAATTGTTTATTTCTAGTCTTTTAATTTCTCTAATGTACAACGCCTTGTCTTTTTATGATAGATAGATAGCGAGAGGTAGAGAGAGAGAGGTAGAGAGGTAGAGAGAGAGAGAGAGAGGAGAGGAGAGAGGCATAAAGTAACAGACAGAGAATCAGCACTTTGAAACAGGGCTGAAACAGAGGGGATTATGGGTAATGCTGCAATGACCCGTTTGGTGTTTGGAGCCAAACACTTCAGAGACATGTTTTGTACATATCTGAGACCTTATATATTGATGAAAAACAGTATGATAGGGGACCTTTAAAGAGAATAAACTGTGTTCCTTGGTGTCTCGTTGATACGGGAGTGCTTGGTTACCTTCAGAGCTTTACTGACCGAGGTCTTCCTCAGCCCCGACTGGTTGAACTCTAACGGATTGCGCTTTGATTTTCCCCAGGAGAGAGAACAAACACACGGAAACACACACACCAGGAGGTTATTAGGGGAAAGAGGGGCATGCAGGGATGAGGATGATGATGAGAGGAGGAGGAAGACACCAATGGGATAGACAGAGACAACATGGATGATCACATGGTTAATTTCATTCCCCAATTAAAACCTGGACAAGAGGAAAAACAGAGTCCAACCAATATTGGATTTATCACAAGGATCAATTCAAGATAAAATCATGAAAAAATAAATGTAAAATGATAATAATAAAAAACATATAATATTAAATAATAATAGTAATAAATAATACAATTACAAAATAAAAATATAAAAATGAAATGTTTTATTATTATTTATATTATTTTAATGTTGTTATTATACTAAAAAAAATTCACTATAGTTTAAAATAACATTTTAAAAATGTCAAAAGAAATAAAACATTACAATTTCATTTGTCTTGAATTATGTTAATACAAAATATACCACATTTGAAAGCATATTAGTTGGACTCTAGTTAAGACAGCATTAGATGGGAGTGATTGATAGAATGAGGATCAGAGAAAAGAGACACTGGGTGACATTAATATGTATGTAGGCGGGAAATCCATTCATTTTATTTGCTATTTTACTGTTTTGCAAGAAAAATAAAGACCTAATAACAACGATAGTGTCCGATCGTTATCACCTCATCACAGGGACACACAGTGCAGGTGTTAACTCAATGTATCTCAGAAAAAAATGCAAAAATAACGTGTCCTCGGGGTTAAAATTGGAAAATTAAACGTTAAAATCAAATGTATTTAAGAGGACATTGTTGTCATTTTTGTAATATTGGATTTCCCTCATCATCCCCAGGGTTAGCTTTGATGTAACATGGATACATGTGAAGTTAGGGTTATTATAGGGTTAGATTTTAAAGTAAAACACAGACTTGTTGACAGGTAAACAGTTGGAAAGGGACATATCATCAAAACAGTGCTCATTGGAGACACCTAGTGGCAAACAGTGAGAACTACATCATGTGTTTCAGTGTTAAGGTCGTTTCTTGTCAACAGGTCTGTGCATTACTTTAAAATGAATGAAATCAAATAGCCACAGTTCTTTATGGAGGGGTTACAATGTGCTACTAAAGAGAATGGGTGTCTTCAGGGAGGGTGGAGGGAAAGCAATCCAGAGAGAATTCAGCCTCCCTCTCAGAGTCTCAAAGATAACAAGATACTAGTTTTCAAGAGAAACACAAAGAAATTGAGGAAATCTTCTGCTTTATTATATGCTATGCCTCTTAGGATGTACGCTTTTTCTTTGTATGTGACATCTCTAAGCGGTTGACCAATCACAACAGAGCCAGCCAGCTAACCAATCAGAGCAGGCTGGGCTCTGGTTTCAGACGGAGGGTGAAAAGAGGTGCTGCAGCACAGGCAGTATGAGAAAAATAAAAAGCTTTTTGAACATTAAAGCATGGAGACATGTCCCAGTAGAGACACTACATACTGATATACACCTGAGCATCAGCAGGAGAGGACTCTTTAAAGTAGAGACACTACATACTGATATACACCTGAACATCAGCAGGAGAGGACTCTTTAAAGTAGAGACACTACATACTGATATACACCTGAACATGAGCAGGAGAGAACTCTTTAAAGTAGAGACACTAACTGAACGGAGAGGACTCTTTAAAGGACCTGAACATCAGCAGGAGAGGACTCTTTAAAGTAGAGACACTACATACTGATATACACCTGAAGATCAGCAGGAGAGGACTCTTTAAAGTAGAGACACTACATACTGATATACACCTGGACATCAGCAGGAGAGAACTTTTTAAAGTAGAGACACTACATACTGATATACACCTGAACATCAGCAGGAGAGGACTCTTTAAAAAGTAAAGTGTTCCTTAGAGTGTGTCGAACCCCCTCTAGATCATGAGGTATTTTTTAATCAATCTGTGGGTGATTATAAGTCTTTTTGACCAACTGCTGCTTAGCTAGCGCTGTATTTAGCATGATTAGCATGTGGCTTTTGCCCACCACTGCTATGGTTTTCAAACACGGGTTATTCCTAAAACAAATAATGACTACAATGATTTAATGAATTCTCATGCACGAGTCGGGATTCATGCTCATCAGGCAAACACTCCAAACGTTTTCTATTTTAACAAATGTAACAAAAAGCGTAGCATGACGTCGAGCAGAAGTTATCTATCAGTGATCAAACCCACTCACAAATAACGTCCTATAGAGAGAAGCCGTGTTCTCGCAAAACACGAGGCCCGCCGCCCGCCTCTCTTTTAAGTATCCAGAACCCAAGTTCCCCTCGAAGACGCTCTTCAGAGAGGAGGAAGAGGAAGAGGAGGAAGAAGAAGGGGCTGAAAAGAGGAAGGTAAGCCTGCACTACGGAGGTTAAAGCTAACAAATAAAGGTATTTCAACCAGGAAATAATGCGTGATAGAATTGTGAACAGCTACAACTACTGCCAGATGAGATAATAATGTTTTGTTTTAGGCAAATCGATTTCAAGAGTTTATTTCTAATGCGGTTTTACGTTATAATAATATTTAATCAAAAGACTACATTTTTTAACATAATGAGTATATTTTTCACCGTTTTCCACTATTTTTATTATTTTATTTAGTAAACAAATGTAGACTTACTTGAATGATATAACTGCTGCACCAGTACTAGTTCATACATGAGTAAAATATTCAATGTATTATGTTATTTTATCAAACAGAAGAATATTTTGGATTGAAGCAAATATTGATTTTAGCATATTTTAAAAAATAAAAATAATGGGATTTTTTAAAAAAGTTCAAGAACACTCACTAATAATAACTTTCATTCTGTTTGATTTGTAAAGATATCCGAATAAAGCACTATGACAACATAAATCACTATTAATTGGTAGGCTTTAGCTTATTTCTATGGTATATTTGAGAGGAAATGGAGTGAAGAACAGACATGAAGTTCAGAAAAGAAAATGAGTGAAAGACTGAAGTAGAAACTGGATCCAACGAGATAAAACTGGATTTGTAAAACTCTTCATCTGTTCCCAACAATATGTGTTTTAAACTCCTTCAGCATCTCATGGTTGGGAAATCAGGGAAATACTCATTAAAAGTATTCAACCACACAGCAACAAAGACAGCAAACTACCTTAAAAAAATAAATAATGTAAAAATACATCAACAGTGTTACGGAGTGTCTCGTAAAAACTAAATAACACAAAATAAGCAGTGAAATCAACATGTTAAGTTATACAGTTCAGAAAGAGTCACATTTATAACAGACAGGGCACAACAGGATCTTAAAAACAACAACCCCCCTTTTTCTCTCCTTAGCCGCTTTCACACCAAGTACTTTGCGGTACTTAGTTCCCGGTACCTAGTCCCCCCGAACTCTTTAGTCCCTGGAACTGTCCTAGTAGATCGCGTTCTTACCGGAATAAGTCCCTGAGGGAAGATTACTCAAATGAAGCCGCTGACGTCACTTCTTCTTCTTCTGCTTTGGGTTTACTGGCAGGCCGCAAACAACTTCACGGCGTAGACTGCCGCCCGGAGTCCCGGCCGGAAGTTCCCGGAGTTGGGAACTGGCTTCAGTAGAAGCTGCTGGGACTCCCAGCAGCTTCGACTGAAGCCTTCCGAGTAAATCGCCAGAAGCACCGACACCTCCTCATCTCCACCGCTCCCATGTTTTCTTTTGTGTTGCCATAAGTTAGTCTCTCTCCGTTTGTTCGCTGGGCTAATGCTAATGCTAATAATGCTAATGCGAGCAAATAAAATGGCGGCTTCACAAAACCTTTCGGAGTTTTACGGGGCGTGGTTTCCAATTAGCCCAGACAATCAGAAATTGTTAGTGTTAGCACGAACCATTTCCTCCCCAGGAAAGTACCCCCTCTAGCAGGGACGATCTGGGGGTGAAAAGGTTCGCGCGAACTAGGGACTAGTTCCAGATCTTTTTGGTGTGAAGCCAAATCTCCCCCCCCTATCGGCCTAGTTCTTGGGAAAAGTACTCGGTGTGAAAGCGCCTCTTGACTTGAGGGTTAAAAATGTAAATCATTAGTCCAGGTGCATGCTGGGAAGTTGGATCAGACTGACTTACCGGCAGATTTCTTGCTGAATCCAGGAAAACGACAAGCAACGCCGACGAAAGGCCGTCGTTCGCCTGATTGCGATCAGCTTTAATGCTCGTTAGCGCCTGAGAGGAAGAGGAAGAGACACTGGTTACTTTTTTCGGTAAATGTATCCTGCAAAGCCTCATGGGAAGAGCTTACATGTCCATGTTTTTATTGTTGGGAAAATAGTGAATGTACTCTTCCTATCTCAGAGTCCACATGCTAACAAAGGTATCCCAACTGTAGCTGTGAACATGACAGGATGTGTGATTACCTAGAAGAGCATCAGGACTGTTTGAGGCATATGATAGCTATGTGATTAACATGATGATTCAGCCTCTATGGAGAGAGACATATGACAAGCATGATCATTTCTGACGTGGAGCTAATCTGAAGTAAACATTGAATACTGCTTTCTATTCCTCCATCTTGTGACTGTGGAACTCCCTCTCTTGGATATCAGCATGTGAAGGACACTGTTCAGGAACTAGCTGATGCTCTGTATGTGATGACTACTATTTGTATTCTTTATTTGGGGTCACATAGTATTCGTATAGCATTTTGCTAAGTTTTCAGTTCAATCTTTTTTATAGCGACCCCAGATAGCAAACAAACTAACGTAATAAGTAAATAAATAATCAAAAAATAAAATTATAAGAGTTTTTGTGTTAAGGAAACAATACAGCATGTATTCAAACAAAAGCGCGATATGACAGGTGGTGGTGTCTCTGTAACATATATTGCTTCAACAGTTTTATTTAAAGTTTGATATTAAAATTTAAATGAGTTGTTTACCTGGTCCAGTTTCTCCGTGAGGACAGCAGAGATTAACCACTCCAGTTTGCAGGTGAAAATCTTTCCCTGCCCACGTCCTTGCTATCCCACCAAAACCACTGCAGACAAAGAGAAAAAGGCTCAATCAATTCAGTTATTGTCTAAACACAGTGTATGTTTTTCACACACCCAGCATTTAAGAAAGATACGCATAAAAAATGTGCTAAAAGAGGAAGATTTGCAGAAAAAAAAAGATTCTAAAACAATTAAAGCGATGACACTTTTTTCAAATGATGGTAATACATAATGCATCCATCCTCCAAAAAATAAAATGTGATAATCTCCTTTATCAGATGAGTTAATAAAAGCCAACAAGTTGGGGGGGGGGGGGGTTACCATATGTTCCCGCTACCTTGGTTATTGTTTGTATTTACGCGATCTTTGACTGCCTGACAGCTGGCACACTTTTTAGCTTAGAAGAGAACGTTGCTTGTTCAAAAAAAGTGCTGTTAGGAAGGTTCCGCTTTTAATTAGAGCCAGGCTAATATTATCTAAGAGGTAAACATTTTGAGTACCAGAGTATAAATCGGATGGATAAGTATCTGCACGCAACCTGCAGCGCGGCGTAGGGTTTATTTCTGAAAAAGAAACCGACAGAAAAAAGTGTTCAGCAAGGGAAGGAAATAGACAAATAATTTTTTTAGATTGGTTCATTTGACACCTTTGTCCCTAACTAACATCTAACAGCACATTTGACTCACTATAACTAACTTAAAATAATACTTAAGGGATCAAATCTATCATCTAGCAGTCAAAGTCTTATGTAGTCTGTAAAAATTTACGTTTTATTGGCGCTTGAAAAATCTCCTGTTGGCAGGCTTCATATTCTGTGTGGGTGTGTGTGGTTGTGTGTGTGTGTGTGTGTGTTGTGTGTGTGTGTGTGTGGGGTGTGTGGTGCGGGGTGTGTGTGTGTGTTTGTGTGTGTGTGGTGTGTGTGTGGTGTGGGGGTGGTTGTGTGTGTGTGGTGTGGTTGTTACTTTGTCATGGGAATGGATCATAGAGGGCGGATTCCCTGCGTCGCAGCCGGGTAGCGTGAACAGCTGTTTGAAGTTGTGGACGCTGCCAGGAACCGGGAGACACCCGCCTCCGTCTCCGCCCGTCAGCAGGGTACTGGCCGTCCCGACCAGGTACATGGCCTGGCAAAGGAAGGACAGAAGGATACGCTTATTATTACAATGTTTGAGATGAGCTGAAGAGTTGAAGGTTCTGGTGTTTGGGACATTCCAAACATACAGGCTTTAAAAATAATGTCAGATTTAACGGTAGGTTCCAATGCATGCAGTCCAGTGTGAGAAGAGTCATATCCTGCCTTTGATCATCCTGTACCTTTCCTTAAACGCTTAAAATAAAGCCCGTCACAGGCAAACTCTTCACTTCGAACCACATGGCATAAATAGCCTCAGATAGGACTGGAGTCTGGAGCCCGTAGTTTGATCTCTTTATGTCCAGAGTAAAGCTCATACAGCGAGGGTCATGTGACCCAGCAAAAAGATCCCAGGTCCAGCACCGCTCTCCTGAGGGGCTTTCTGTAACGCCAGACCTTCCTGACTGGCAACAAAGATGGCTGCCCCACAGTGAGGCTGCGGGAGATTTACTCGTCCATCTGCTTTCCTGCAAACTGTAACAGCTGAAATGGTTTCCCCCGGGGGAGTCTGGCGAACCACAAATCAAGCCTCGCGTTGGAGTTTATTAAGGAGGCGCACCAGTGCAGAGCGCAGGCTCAAACTGAAGGAGTCAGGAGCATCATCAGAGAGAAACTAGCCGATGAAAGAGAAGGGCAGAAGTGAGTTCCTGAAAGCAGGCAAGTGACACTAATTCAGAGTTTTCTCTGTTTGTGGGTTTACGACACAGAGTTTAGGTTTGTGGCCGCTTTGGGCAGTGCTTCAGCAGGAGACACTTCAATCATCAGCAGCATGTGTCGTGAATCGCTACGGTTGAAAGGGGAAAATGAAACTAAACGAAGTCTTTTCAGGAAACTGACTTGGTAATGAAAAGATAAATAACCCGTCAATGAGCAGATACACAAGGGTACGGACGTTGAAAACAGGTGCAGCGCTAAAATGTACAAAATGTTGTATAGAAATTCTTTGTGGATATTCCTATCCAACACTGGAACTAACATGAGCTCGTTGTCTCATTCTCATTAAGCACGCACTTTCAGAATGGGCCAACACGTGCACCCACTCACACACACAACACAGGGAAACGACAACACACACACAAGACACACCAGATGCGTCGCAATGCGGCCTCTGGCGGGAGGACTGGAGAATCAATCCCTCCTTTAGATCATCCTCCAGGACGGCTGGGAAGGAGCATCGACCCGAGTGGCAGCGGCTGCTCTGATGGTGTGGGTCGTTCGTGTGTATCGTAATTGTCTTCGTGTATGCATCATTGCAGAGTAATCTGATCATCAACAATAAAGACGATGCTCAACTCAGCCTGGTATGACCAAATCGCAGTTAAATGGAGTACAGAGCAAAGAGAGCAAAGAATAATAACGATCCATTATAATACAAAAACGGAGCGTAATTTTTTTTTTTAACGTAAAAGCCGTAATTCCATTTTAGTCCACTTGGGAGGGGCAGCAGAAGAGATAAAATCACAAAAAACGACATACATACCAACTTAACATGGTAAACATGCTAACAAAGGTCACTCGCTAACACAAACCAGCACACATAACATTCTTTTTTTCATGTGGCGAGAAGTCTAAAAACATCCAACCTGATGAGGTAAACCAATATTTATGTAAAGGTGGCCTTCTTCTTTGCCTTAACCAATTCTCCTGGTGAAATAACTGCTTGCTTTCAGCTGCTAATGGCTTCAGCTTCTTCTTCTACGCTGGCTCCTATGTCGGCTGTTTGATTCAAGGGAAAGTAAAACAATTGCCTGATGTGGCTGTGGGTAAAAGCTGAGTGGATCAAAAAGCAAATAAGTAGAAAAGACATTAAACCGCTCTGTAGAGCCGAGCGCTCTCTCCCTCAAGCAGTCCCTCTAAACGTTACCGTGAAGTCATTTTAAGCCTCTGTTAATATGAAGCTATTCACCACAAGTTTAAATCCGATATATGTTTTAAAAGCAGCCACGCATCGAGTCATCCTTTGACAGATGACATACTTACACAGTAAAGAAGAGGGAAGATAAGAGCGTTACCAAGGGCCTGTGTTATATTAATGTACCTGGTGTTATGTAGCTCAAACGGAGTCCATGACCCCTTATGCAGCCCCAGCAGGAGGGGAGCGGCTGGCAGACATGTCAGCCAGGCCAAGGTAGGAGGCGCAGCACAGGCTCTATAAATCAGCCACTGGGGCGGTCAAATAAGATGGCCGATGGCTCCTGGGAGGCCAAGAGGGCTACCGGGCTCGGGTGACAAAAAAAATGAGCTGGCAGCAGCTACACATGCACCTTTTAATGCCATCCCTTCGGAGGAAGTGCGGGGATTCTTGGGCCTGGAGAAGCGTAACAAAGTTTAATTTATGGGTGTTTAATCCCCTGGTTTACAACGAGACCAAAGGCAGGGGGAAAAAACGGGCTGGAATCGGTTAACACTGCCTGAGTATACTAGTACTTAAACGACTGTAATCCATTCAGGTATGGCTTCCGTCACTCGATGCTGCTATTCAGACTAGGATGCCGACTGTCTAGCCCTGTCATCTAAGCCTGACGTCCAGAATACATTTACAGTGCAAACAATCCCCTCCTTCCCGTGTTCCTCTCCTGCCTAAAGTGTGATACTGCAGGCCCAGGACAACACACTTTATTTATCCTTGAGTCACACGCGAAGCTGAGGCCTCTGAGGAGATTGATCGGTATGTACACGTGAGGCGCACTAAAATAACTACAGCGTCAAACCAGGGGGTTGAGACCTCACTGGCCTCACTCGCGAGAGTGTTACTGGATTTCCTAATGGCCATCTGACCCATGGCTGGAATTTACAACAGCAGAGAGTGGGCCAGGGCCCACATTTGTCCAAGTCCCAGCCTCACCGCTTTGCAGCAGGGACGCTGGGAAACCTAGCAAGCTTCTAAAGGATCATCTGAGTTTCTGTTAAAGAGACAATAAATATTCTGCACCTGGCAAGAACTGAACACTTGCAACTTTCGCCGTGATTGTTACCGAACACAATCCATCAGCATTTGCGTGTGTGCTCGTAATCACGAACTTGTACGAGTTATATGAATTCTGTGGCTTTGTGCAGCAGGCGGCCCTGGCAAGGTTAGGAAGATCCAGAGTTCTGCTAATGGGAAACAGGCGTGCGGCTGTCGTCAGAGCTAGCTTACATTTCCCGAGGCCAAACCGGAAACAAAGGGTCCATGAAACCAAAAGGCAGTAGCCGCTATTTGTGTCACTCTAAACCACGAGGGAGGAAATGTGGGAAACGGGGAAATGTGTCGTCTTGCTGCTGCAGGGTAGTTTAATGGTGTGGTGTCCAGTCAGCTGACCACTCCTCTGGAATGTTCTCTACCAACTGACGGCCGACGCAATCTGACCTGACAACTGGGCTGCGGATCAAACAAGGCTCATTCCTCTGCTGCTGTGCGTGTTTTTGAAAAACAAGGGGAAAAATTTAAAAAGGGGGATGTGAAGCCCGCAAACCTTTTTTTTTGCCCCCCAGGCGTTGCAAAAGACCCTTTAAACCTTCCTCCGAATGTGAAAACCCCTAAGAAAGCCTTTTAATTCAGTGAGAGGTACATTTTTTCCACCCCTGATGTGGTGCAGAACCACACATTGTCTAAAAATGCCAACTTTTTGTTCAACAATGCGCGCTTACGCCAGTAAATTAAATGTTCCCACCTTTGGAATGCTTGTTTTCTTCCAACCTTCCATGTGTCTTTGAGCAGTTTTTTTTGTTCTGCCGTTGACCACATGAAGTTACTCAAAAAACTTGCCCCTTCTCGTAGGTAAGATCAATTGCGATTGGTGCCCCCCTCGGTGGAGGAAAAACCTGGATGCAGAAACCCCGAGGCCTCAAGGCAGAACGGCTCGGGGCCCCTCCAGGGGTCCCGCAGCAGGTCCCCAGTTTCATGGAATTGGATCAGACAAAGGAACCCCTTCTTTTTTTGAAAAAACCAAACACCGCAAGAACAAAAGAACAAAGTTCAGAAAAGCAGAAAACAAATGTTACAAATTATCCCCAGTGTCTTTTTTTTTTTTGTTGTTAACAATTTTTTACACATATAGTTTTTGGAAAAATTGGAGCCTTTTTTTCGCTATATTACTTTAACTAATATTCAATTACAATGAACAATTAATAGCCAGCAACTTTTGAAATTAATGGATTTTCCCTGTTTTTGAAAAGTAAAATTTTTTTTTTGGCAATTGGAAAAAATAATAAAATGTGGGAATTCTTTCCAAATCCAGGCTCTTTTAAAATGATGGGAAGTTTTTTTCTTTCCTGCTTTTTTTTTTTATCTTTTTGTTCCTAATTCCAAGAATGTTAAAAATTTTTAAACCGATTCCTTCCCGCGTTTTTTTATCGCGCGTTTGGGAATGAAACAAAAAAAAAACCATTTTTTTTTAAATGGAATAAATCCCAGCAATATTCCTCCCACGCAACTCACACGGCCCCACCGGATTTGCGTGAAAATATATTCGTTTTAGTCGCAGCCCTAAATTTTGGGACCATATTTTAATTAAAAAGAAACAGACAAAGACGGGCCCCTCAACCTTTTTGCAGCCGCTTGAAATAGGACGAGACCCCAGCTCTGCACCAACCACTCCGCACACGTCACTTCCGCAGTCAAATGGCCCTGTCAAGATGGGCCCCTCGGTGTTGGTAAAAAAAAAAACCCTGCCTTTTTAAAGAAAATAGAACCAAAACAAAGTTTTAAAGGGTTGTGGTTTTACTTTTGTACTGTATATAAAGGCAGACATAAAAAAAAAATACCTAGTTCGGTCACTTAAGAGGGAAGAAAAAAAATGTTAAAAAAAAAAACATGTGTAGCCAAACCCAAAATATGAAAAACACAGACAAAACTATAATGTATGAATAAATTAAATTTGTTTTTTTTTTATTTAATTCCCCATCCATAAGGAAAATTGTTGTTTTGTTTGTTTTCTTGTGTTGAAATGTAATTTTTAACTTTGTAAAGCTTGTTATTCAAAGAGGTTTTTTGAGCCTGTTAAACCCTGCAAACAAATGCCCTTTCAACATTCTTTTCTCCATTTTCCTAGGCACGTATTTTGTCCAACTCTCGCCTTTCTTTCCTTATCTTTAAAACCCTTGTTTTCCCTTCACTTGCGCCTTTTCCCCCATAGAATTCCAGATTGGTTTTCTGCGAAAGAGCAAAGTGTTATAGTTCCAAAAAGTCAATGAAAGATGTTGTGAATTTTTTTTTGTTTTTTTTGT